ACAGAGCTTCCCAGTAGAGGGGAGGGGATCTAAGGGGTGAATCTTCCAGTGAATTATTGTTACTGGTGTATGTGTGTGTGTGTGTTCAGGTCATGGTAGTCTTGTGAAGGTCAGAGGACAGTTCTTGGGAGCTGAGTCTCCATCTTCCATGGATTCTTCAGACTTTTACCTACTAACTCATCTTGCTAGCCTGAGGTAAGCCTTTAAACCGGCCTTTGTAGGCAACAAAGTGCTACACTATTGGCCTTTTTATTCTTGGTCTTGTTCATCAATGGTGGGACCATCCTAACACCAAGGGTCAAAATAATGGAGTCAGGAGGCAGAAGGACTGTGGCAAGTTCAAGGACTACCAGGGCTACAAAGTGAGACTGTCTCAAAAAGACAGTCAGCCAATCAACTCCCATCCGAAAACAACATGGAAAGCTAGGTGTGGTGGTAGTTCATGCCTTGACATCTCAGTACCCGAGGGAGGGTAGAGGCAGGAGAATCAGTAGATTAAGGTCCACCTACCACCGCAGCCAAACAAACCCTGAAACCCCCAAACCAAACTCAACCAGTCCAGGGCTAAAGGCAAGTCCAAGATACGGGTTGTGGAATTCCGGGGTCGGGGAGAAGAGGGGTTGGCGGGACAGAGGAGCTGTGGTGGGCCTGGATTTTTAAGTTCTCTGTTTGCTAAGAAATCCTATCATTGTAAAAACAAAACAGGCGAATGCATGTGCTAATAATATAACTTGATCAAAGAAGGAGCCGGAGGGGGAGGGTGTGGGGGGAGGAGGAGAGTTTCCGGGGCTAGGGGCGTGGCTCAGGAGCTGAGCACTTGGCTGAAGATGTGTAAACTAGGACTGAGTACCACTGAGTGAATATGTAAATAAGTAAATAAATCAGATTGCAGTTTAGAAACCTCAAGCTCTTAGACAGCGACTCTGCGCTCTCTGCAGACAAGCAACAACCGCACTTCTGGAAGTGAGGTGTGCAGACCGTGGCCATCCTAACGTGTGGCTCCCAGTTTGTCTGGTTTCTTTGTGCTTCACCAGCACTGATTTTACGAGCAGGTCAAGGAGGGGCTTACCACCTACAGGGGCCAAACTGGGCTTTGTTTTTTATTACTTTATTTTATGTGTGTGTGTGTGTGTGTGTGTGTGTGTGTGTGTGTGTGTGTGTGTATGTGTGTGTTATATGGGAAGAGTACATACACATACCCCCATGGCATGGGTGTGGAAATTCTTTGAGGAGCCTGTCTTTTCATGGATGCTGGGGTCTGAATTCAGGCTGCCTGTTATGCGCACGTGCCTTTGCTTGCTGAACTACCTCCCAGGCCCCGGGCCTCATTTTCAAGCAAGGCTTGATGGGGTGTGGCTCCATCTCTTGATGGGAGAAGGCAGGTAAGGCTGTGAAACAGCACACATGGGGAAAATGAGCCTGGAGTAGTCTGTGGGACAGCAAGAATTCGAGGTTCTTCTGTTGGAGAGGGGTAAGTGTTGGGCACTAGTGGGGGGGGGTCAGAATGAGATGGCAGTGAGCTGGAAAGTCAGGGACGATGTTCTGGATCACGTCTAACAAGAAATGGAGTCCATGAAACAGGTGTGGGTGGTGGCACATGCCCCTGGGAGGCAGAGGCAGGCCGAGCTCTGTGAGTTCGAGGCCAGCCTGGTCTACAAGGGCAGCCAGGGCTGTTGAACAGAGGAATCCTGTCTGGAACCTCCCCCTGACACATACACCCCCCCCCCAAAAAAAAAAATAGAAAGAAAGAAAGGGAGTCCTAGGGCTAGAGAGATGTTCAACCATTAAGGCCATTTGCTGCTCTTCCAGAGGACCCAGGTCCCAGATTCTGAGAACCCAAATGGCAGCTCAGACCCAGCTGTACAGATCCAGGGGATCAACACCCTCCCTCCTCCAGCCTCTGTGGGCACCAGGCATGCACATGGCACACAGACATACATGCAGGCAAAACACCCATTCAGATAAAATAATAGAAATGGAATTCTGCTGGGCTCAGTGGCACACACCACGCAGCTTCAATTCCAGTGCTCCGGAAGGCCAGCCTGGGCTACCTAGTGAGGCCCTCTTCGGCCACCCTCGGCTTTCTAGGTCTCCCCTCCATTATTTTCCTGCCCTAAGAGACTTGCCTGAGAGACTGAACTGCGCTGCTCTAACATTCCTAGGAGATCTAGGGCCAGGGCCACAGCTGCAGCAGATCCAGGGAAGCCTGCTGAACTCCTGCCGAGAGGAGAGGAGAGGAGAGGAGGAAGGCCGCCTCCTGCCCCAGAGCTAGCTACCCAGACTGAGGCCATGGAGGCCTGCAGAACAGGGAATTCACCCAGGCAGCCACCGAGTAAAAGTTGCATTTTCTTTCTTTTCTTTCTTTTTTCTGGTTTTTCAAGACAGGGTTTCTCTGTGTAGCTTTGGCTGTCCTGGACTCTTTTTGTAGAGCAGACTGGCCTCAAACTCACAGAGCTCCACCTGCCTCTGCCTCCCTAAGTGCTAGGGATTAAAGGCATAAGTCACAACACTTGGCTAAAAGCTGCATTTTCTGAGCTGACTTTCTGTTCCTTCCAACATATAAGATTCCCTTAAAATACACAAGTGTTTCGCCTGCTTGTATGTCTGTGTTCCACATTCCTGTCTGGTGCCCTTGGAGGTCAGAAAGACAGCATCCGACCTCCGGGAACTAGAGTTATGTATGGTTGGGAGCCACCATGTGGGTGCCGGAAGTAAAACCCCAGGTCCTCTGCAGGGGCAGCAAGAACTCCAAACTGCTAAGCCAACTAACGCACCAGCCCCTTTACAAAAAAATATTTATTGCCAGGCATAGTGGTGTAGCCAAGGCTAGCCTCAGACTCACCATTTAGCTAAGATGGCCTTAAGCTTTATTATTATTATTATTATTATTATTATTATTATTATTATTATATTGGTTTTTCAAGACAGGGTTTCTCTGTGTAGCTTCTGATATCCTGGAACTCACTCTGTAGATCAGGCTGGCCTCGAACTCACAGAGATCAGCCTGCTTCTGCCTCCCAAGTGACAGGACTAAAGACAAGTGCCACCATCCCGTGGCTGACTTTGAACTTCTAATCTTCCTGCTTCCACACCCAAGTGGTCAGATTACAGACATGTGCTGCCATGCTCGATATTATATAGCATTGAGATCAAACCTAGGGTTTTGTGCATGCCAGGCAAGCACTCTACCAACCAAGCCAAATTCCCAGGCCACAAGGACTCCTTCTAACATCTATCTCATGCCCCAGACTCCTCAGTAGGCATCAGCTCTCCAGGGGCCTCTCCTCTGAGTCCAAGTGGCTGTAATGTCACCCGGGACACAGGCTGGACCATATCTACTCGATGATTTGTGTGATATACACTGCTTCCCATGGGGGCTGCCCAGAGGCCAGGGCCCCACGCCAAAGGCCCACGCCCTGGTCTGTGGACACTGCCATAGAAATTATGCACAAGCTCGAAGAGCTGGGATGCATTCTTTCTCCTGTCAGACTGTGGGTGCCATGGTTCTAGGCAGACACAAGCCTAGCCCTTGCTCAGCACAAGACTGAATTCATCTCACTGTCAGAGCGCTCTAGAAGGAACCCATTCTGGTAGTGACTTGCTCAAGCTCATTAAGGTGGTGGACTGTGAAGCTGGCGTATGACCCAGGCCTGCCGAACGCCAAAGCCGAAGCTGGCCGCCCCAGGCCTCGCTCTGCAAGTTATTTCCTTATACCCTCTGACCCCAGACTTTTCACCCTCTCTCCGTGCTGCGCCTTCCTTTTGATTCCCGACCAACAAATTGGAGTCAAAGGGTCACCGGCTCTTTATTTGTTACAGGTGCGGTGGCTCCTCAGCAGCTAGAGTGGAGAGACAGCGTTCTGCAGATTCCAGGCTGAGCCAAAACACGCCTGCGGTCAAATGGAGCCAGCTGCCCCCTCACACCCCTTCACCCCTCAAGGTGCTCTTAGGTGAAAGTGGGGCAGAAGCATCCGGGGGGAATCTGATAGCGAAGCCGGCCTCAAAACCGGAAATTCTTCTGAACTCCCATTTCATCCTTCCATTGTCAAGTGAATTTTTCATGACAGGCCATAAAATATCCATGTGTGCTTTATTATTAAAATGTCCTAAATGACTTTCCAGCTAGTTACCTAACTTCCGCCCCTCCTTCACATGAAGCAGAATTGGCCATGGTACCCATTAGCTCCCAACAGGTTCCCAGGACCCATCTCCCGGACTGGGTGCGTGAAAACCGCTGCTCAGTTCCCGGGCTGCCATGCAGGACTGAGTTAGCAACCCAGAGCCCCTGCTCCCCCCCACCACACTGCGGCTCCAAGTTTACTGTTCTCTGCTGGGAGGGCTAAGAGAAAGGAACCAGCTGGCCTTGTGCTGGGAAATAATTATCCACCCGAGGTTAGGCATGAGGGAGGCAGGCTCTTCCCGCCCACAGCTTGGCCACACCCCCAGCTCTCTCCATCTTGAGCAGCCCCAGAGCTCCCAGAGACCTCAGCAGCATGGCTCCCTGGAGCAGGAGCTGGGGGCCAGTGGCCCCACTGCCACCCAGCAGGCCTTCAGCACTGCCTGGGGCCTCTTTTTGCAGAAGCTCGGCCTGCTGTCTTCGTTTCTCTGGAATCAGGCTCTGGCCTCAGGTCCTTCCCTGATGTTCCCCCTCCTGGGAGCCCAGGACCATGACTGAGTGTACTGCTCTGTGGCAGGGGGCTTCATGGCCAGGCTCAGGGGCTCTCAGTCGGGCGGGGGAGCCTGGCAGGCTTTCCTGATGCCCTTCCAGTGCGAAGTCAGGGGTCAGAGCCCAGCTGAACTCTCAGCTCCCACACCCACCGGACAAGTTCCCTGGTCTCCTTTCCAAAAACGGAGAAAACAGGGAAAGGAAAGGTGTTCAGGAGGGTGAAGAATGAATGGAGGATCTAGCAAAGCCCTGCAGATGGCCTCGATATCCCCAAAGCGCTGCAGACACACATCACCGCTGTCCACGGCAAGGGTTACGGGAGAGAGAACACTCACCGGAGGGTGCTTGCGCTTCCGGCCAGGCCTCCCCACCTTCCGGGCCGTGGTGGTGGGCTCTTGGCGCTCCTCCTTGCCACGATTCTCCTCCTGTTCCTCTCCTTCCTGTGGGCACAGACACACCCTGTAAGCCAGAGCTGACCCAAGACGCACTGTGTTCCAGGCAGTCTGGGCTGGCATGGCCCTCCTCCGCAACAGTCACATTTCCAGGGCTGTGCCGTGCTGTCCCCACGCCCGCTGCATGGCAAAGCTGAGCCCCATCCCGGTGCATCCCGAGGGCTGGCCTGCAGCTGCCACAGAGTGCATGCCTAGCATGCACAAGATCCCTAGGTTCAGTCCCAAGCGTGAACCAAATAAAAAAGTCCTAGAGGGACCTCAGGGGCCTCCAGCAGGTGTTTCTCCCTCTGACGTCTGCCCTGTGTGTGCTTTGATTTTATTTTTTAGATAGGGTCTCACTACATAGCCCTAAATGACCTTGAACTTGCAACGTAGACCAGGCCTCCAAAGAAACTATCTGCTTCTCCTTCCCAAGTGCCAGGATAGATAGAAGGTGTCTGTACCATGCTCAGCTTCTATTATTTATTATTATTTATTATTATTATTATTATTATTATTATTATTATTATTATTATTGGGTTTTTCTGAGACAGGGTTTCTCTGTGTAGTCTTGGCTATCCTGGACCTCACTCTGTAGATCAGGCTAACCTCAAACTCAGATACCCACATGCCACTGCCCGGCTTCCAAGACAGGATGTCATCTAGCTCAGACTAGGCCCAAACTCCCAAGAACGATCTCGAACTACTGTCTCCATCTCTGTGTGCATGTACTCCATACAGAGTACATATATGTGCAGGTATGTGGAGACGAGGAACCAATCTTCAGGGTCTTTCTCAATTGCTCTCCACCTTAAATTTTTTTTTCTTTCTTTAAGCCAGGCATGGTGGCACAAACCTTTAGTCCCAGCACTCAGGAGGCAGAGGCAGGCGGATCACTGAGTTCAAGGCCAGCCTGGGCTACACAGAGAAACTCTGTCTCAGAACAAAAAAACATAAATAAAAAAAATAATTATTTAACTGCACATGTGAACCTTCAGGAGTTCATTCTCTACCATCTGGGTCAGGAGGTCAGGCTATGTGCCAAGTGACTTTATCCAGGAACTATGTGGCAAACCCTAAGCCTTATTTTTTTTTTTTAAGATTTATTTATGTAGTATTCCGCCTGCATGTACACCTACATGCCAGAAGAGGGCACCAGATATCGTTATAGATGGTTGTGAGGCACTGTGTGGGTGCTGTGAACTGAACTCAGGACCTTTGTAAGAGCGGCCCATGCTCTGAACCTCTGAACCATCTCCCAGCCCCCTACACCTTATCTTTTTGAGACAGGGTCTTCTCACTGAATTCAATGATATAGCTAAACTGTCTGGCAAACACCAGGGCTGTTCCTGGCACAGCCTCCCCAGCAAGGGGGTTACAGATATTCACCACATCACCCAGTGTTTATGTGGGTGCTGGGCTCTGACCTGGGATTGCCACACGCAAGGCTTTACCCACAGAGCCATCTTCCCAACCCTCATATTTTCCTGTAACACAACCATCAGGGAGTGGCGTACACCTGTTAGGGAGGCAAGGCAGGCAGATCTCTGAGTTCAAGGCCAGCCTGGTCTAGAGAGGGAGCTCCAGGACAGTCAGGGCTACATGGAGAAACCCTGTCTCAGTAAAACAAACAAACAAACAAAAGATCATAACACAAGCTTCTGATAAGGACTTATTTCTGGGCTGCCACGTAGGTGCTAGGGATTGAAACTGGGTCCTCTGGAAGACCAGTCAGTACTCTTAACCGCTGAGCCATCTCTCCAGCCCCCAAGGACTTATTTCTGAGTCTGTCTGGTTTGGGTACTAGGTACTAAACCCAGGGCTTCATATTTGCTAACTAAGTGCTCTACCACTGAGCCATATTCCCAGACCACAGCTGGTTTTTATTCATAAGAAGAAGAAGAAGGAAGAAGAAGGAGGAGGAGGAGGAGGAGGAGGAAGGAAGGAAGGAAGGAAGGAAGGAAGGAAGGAAGGAAGGAAGGAAGGAGGAAGAAGGAAGAAGAAGGAGGAAGCAGAAGGAAGAAGAAGAAGAAGAAGAAGAAGAAGAAGAAGAAGAAGAAGAAGAAGAAGAAGAAGAAGAAGAAGAAGAAAAATCTTACATAGCTACAAACATTCAAGGAGGAAGCTACTTAGTGAATCTTTATCAAAAACAAAATAATGTGATAATGTGAAATGATCAATTTGGTGATGTTGTTTAAGACCCATGCAAAGCTTGAAATGAAGGCCTCTGTGCAGAATGTAGGAATTTCACCCAGGCTGTCCTGGCCCGTGTGGCTCTGGCACTCCAAGATCACAGAAGGGTCTTGGAGACCATGGCACCTCTTGATCCTCCTCATTCAGTTCTGCTCGTTTTGCTCAGGGCTGGGACCTCTGGGCCTACCTCCTGGGGCAGAGCTGCATACCTAGAAAGTCCTGCCTCGCTGCTCCAGCCTGGCCACAAACCACCCACAAGTCCCTTTTGACTCAGCAGGCTCCAACATGACTAACCACTGGAAGAAACAATGTTGGGGAAGGGAAGAGGGCCCTTGACCCAGCTGAAGGGCAGCAGGCTGCTCACCAGGCCCCTCATGATCTTAGTGGCTGACAATGGCTTTGCAGATGTCACTGGAGGAGCCAAACCACAGAGACACTGGTACCATGGATGGAGAAGGCGATGGTGCCCAGGTTTCCTGGAGATTTGAAATGGTCCTCCACATCTCACTCAACTTTCATTTTCTGTGATTTCAAAATAGTTTGTGGCTCACCACATTAATTCTCAGGTATTAGTAGGCCATGCAAAGAAGACCTACTGTGACCAATCACAGGCACCAACACAAAATAAGAGCATCATTGGCCTGTTTGTCTGTCTGTCCAACCACCTGTCTCCTCAAGGTACATCTGGGAAGCAGACAATCCCAGCTCAAGTTCTAACAGGCGTCTGAAGAGATATGAGGAGAGACGACAGGCATACCTCGGCACCCACTGGTGGGGACATCCCAGCTTGCAAAGGAGACAGAAGACGTCTCCAGTGTGCTATAGGAGCAAGGAAGGGCTGCTAGGCAAGAGACCAGATGCAATGATGTCAAGGAGATTTGGCTAGGGGTCACCAGAGCTGGCTTCGGAGGACGCTACCACTGGGGTTGGAGAAGGGCTAGAGGGCCATGTAAGGGGTGCAGCCATAAAGGGTCTCCAGGGGGAGCCAGCAGCAGAGGCAGCTCCAGTGTGGAGGGAGAGGCTAGCTCCAGGGCCACTGATTCCTGGGGTTCCTTTTAGGAGAGGCTGACAAGGGAGAGGTGAGAATAGAAGGCCATAGAGAGACAGGCAACCAAAGGGCCATGCAGGAGGCTCTCAAAGGCCCTGCTACATGTAGCCCAAGGACACATGCCCAAGGGAAGCCAAGCTGTTGGCTCTGAGTTGTCTCCCAAGGTCTTAAGGATGGTTCTTCAAGAAATGACTACTGGGGACACTGAGGTCAAATCTGACCCACGCAGCTCAGAGTGTAAGGGTCGCTATGGAATGGTGAGTTTGGGAGTGAGGCATTGCTTTTGGTTTGATTCTGCCACAGCTTGTTTCTGTCTTCATAAAACTATCAGGGAAAGTGTGAGGTCAGATGGCCCAGGACACAAAGCCGACGAAAGTAGGCCCATGGTTCCTATTTCATCATTGGATCGTTCTCCCTGAGCCTTAGTTTCCTCATTCACAAGACAGGGTAGGAACACGCCATTGTGCCTGCCTCGAAGGCCTCTAATATAAATAAATGACAGGCCTGTGCTCTGCTTCATTCACGTTTTTTACCTAACTACCACTGTTCTTTAGCAAACTACATTTATTACAGTTCACTTGTTTGGGATTGGTTTGACTTTCTAGATTTCGTTTAGAAAATCAAAGAGTGAAAGCCAGTCTGGGTCTCTAATCAGAAAAAAAGAAAACATGGCCAACACAGCAATGATCAAAAACCAAAGCCGCTTGGGCTAGATTGGTAGAACGCTTGTGTGGTGTGCTTGAGACACAGCTATCTCCTCAGCACTGTGTAAACCAGGTGTGGTCATACATGCCTGCTGCCCCGGCACTTAGGAAGCTGACGTGAAAGATCATACAGTTAAGGTTATCCTTGGCTACATGGAGATCTCAAAACCATCTTAGGCCTTGACCAAAACAAACCAAAACCAAAATGAAAATCAGCCCAAAGACACTTGACCTTCCGGTACAGACAAGCCCTGTTCTCATGAATCCCATGGGAAAGTGTTCAAGGGTCTTTAACAGTAAACCCTATGCCATATGGCTGTGGTCCCTTGCTTTACTCCATACAAGCTAGCCAGGCATGCTACACACACTCAGCACACTTTCGTCCCTCGCTGATTCAGTTCAGGGTAACCCAGCCTAGGAAGAAGGGGCCACCTCTCCAGAACCTGGGGAGCACCAGGTGGGGAGCTGTGTGCCAGGCCTGAACCCCAGGCCTAGCATGAAGTAAAGGATGCACAGACATCCCAGTCTTCAGGATCTACATCCAGCCTTGGCTCCCACATTCCCATGAAGCTCAGAAGCAGGGCTTTGTGGAAAGCAACATACCATTCTAAAATGGAGACCATACTTTCTGGGCCTGCCTGCGGCTCATGCTGCCGGGCAGCGGCCTGATACAGAGTAAGGTAAACAGATGGCCAGGGCCATGCCCTTAGTGACTCTAGTGGTTTATTCTTGCATCTGTTAGGGCCCGTTTTACGCAGCATCCGTGCTGGCGGGTTAGGCAAAGGAATGTGGGCTGTGCTTCTCATATCTGCAAGCATCACTGAAGGAAGGCGCATCTCTATTACCATGCCAGAATCTGAGCCACAGTAACCTGAGCAGTTGGAAACAGCAACACATTTAGTGGGAACAGATTTGAGTCCAGGTTGGTCTCCTCCTCTGTCAACTCAGGAGACTCAAGAACTGTAGGGGAACAGGAATTACAGCTAGGGGCTTTGGAAAGAGCAGGGCTGAACTAGACAGGGACTCCCACTGTGTTCTGTACTTACCAGTCATCCCAAACTTAT